AACCTTTTCAGTGTTTTTTACAGCCTAAATAAAATTAGTTAAGTAGAGAAAACATGTAATCTCTTTTAATTATCCATTTTCATAAAAAATTAAATTTCATTAAATTATTCTCCCCATATAAGTGCTGCACATATGCCAGAAGCTGATTCAGTGGCTTTACCTGAATGTAAAGCAAAATATAGGACTGCCTCAACATAAAATAATAATTACCATTAACACTTATGTATGGGGGAGAAAAAAAAACTACAAAAACCTGCAATAGGTTGTTTGCCTTCTTTATAAGCATAATTTGGGTTTTACAGTCTTGTTGGCAGTGGGATGACCTGCACCTATTTGCTCCAGTGAATGCAACTAAGACTTCCATGGTGGCACACAGACAGGAAGCCACCTGCCAGGGCAGGAGGCATGCGCTCCATCCCTGGTCCAGGAGAATCCACATACCGCAGAGCAACTAAGCCCGTGTACCCAACTCCCAAGCCCACACTCGAATCTCCAAGCCACAACTCCCGAGCCTGAGCGGCACGGCTCCCAGAGCCTGAGCGCCACGACTCCCGAAGCCTGAGCGCCACGACTCCCGAAGCCTGAGCTCCATGACTCCCGAAGCCTGAGCGCCGCGACTCCCCAAGCCTGAGCGCCACGACTCCCGAGCCTGAGCGCCACGACTCCCCGAGCCTGAGCGCCACGACTCCCCGAGCCTGAGCGCCACGACTCCCGAGCCTGAGCGCCACGACTCCCCAAGCCTGAGCGCCACGACTCCCCAAGCCTGAGCGCCACGACTCCCCAAGCCTGAGCGCCACGACTCCCGAGCCTGAGCGCCACGACTCCCGAAGCCTGAGCGCCACGACTCCCGAGCCTGAGCGCCATGACTCCCGAGCCTGAGCGCCACGACTCCCCAAGCCTGGGCTCCACGACTCCCGAAGCCTGAGCGCCACGACTCCCGAAGCCTGAGCGCCACGACTCCCGAGCCTGAGCACCACGACTCCCCAAGCCTGAGCGCCATGACTCCCGAGCCTGAGCGCCACGACTCCCCAAGCCTGAGCGCCACGACTCCCCAAGCCTGAGCGCCACGACTCCCGAGCCTGAGCTCCACGACTCCCGAGCCTGAGCGCCACGACTCCCGAGCCTGAGCGCCACAACTCCCGAAGCTGCGAGCCTGAGCTCCACCAGGAGAAGCCACCACAGTGAGATCCTGTCTACCACAATAAAGAGTAAGCGTCCACCCTCGCTGCAGCCAGAGAAAACCACACACAGCACCAAAGCCCAACACAACCAAAAAATAAACAATGATGGCTAAACAAGAAGGATGCCTCTGTAGTTCTAGTTCTTTTCTCCTCCTGTGATGACAACATGTATAACTTTCACACTGTAAAGTATTAACTGGCAAATATTTCTGAAAACTCAAATAATTTAATCAGAGAGACTCTGAGTATTATTCTTATTATGAATAAGAAACGCACACTTCAGTGGTTTCACTCCAGCATAACAGTCAATACCGAAGAGACCAGGAGTAAAATTAAAGCTAATTTTCAGGTAGTCAGCATCTTACATCATACTTCTTAGCAGTAGTTTTCTTTACTGGCTTGTGGATTTACCTATCCGTCAACATGCATTCATATCTTATATTTTACTGAAGAACTTTCATTAGATGAGGTCACAATGTTATTCTATGATTCAGAATTGCTGTGTACACATTGGCTACTTTTATCATTACTTCCTATAGTTAACATAAAAATACTATAAGGATAATAAAAATTCCAAACTTAAATATAAACAACACCATGCAACTACTATGAAATGTTAGCTGAGATGAAGGGACCAAATCAATGTTTATATAACATGTATTGCCTTTAAAATTATTACGAAGGACAGTAATGTGAATATAAACTAATTTTATTAATGTAATTTATAAAATATAAGGTAGATAAATTATATCATCTTTTTTCTCCCTTCTAAAACTTCTGAACTGCTTATACATCAGTTATAAATTCCAAGGACCATTAATGATAGCATACTTTACCACAGTTTGTAAGATGTATTTATAATATCTATACAATGGCTCCATATTTCTTGACATTTTTCCTTTTTTTACTCGAATCTTCTCTTTCCGTAGCAAACTCTTTAAAGAAAAAGGCCTGTGTGTTTATTTGAACAGGTATCTACACTGCATTAACATCTCGATCATCAGCTTCTCCCCTGAGCTTCAGATGTAGAAGTCTACCAGACATCTCTAGGTGGATTTCGGTAAAGAACCATCAGTTTGCTATATCCAGATCAGAGTGCTTGTATAGTCTACTCCAAACCTCATCCACCCCTGAGGATTCCCATCTCGTTACATCACATTGATCCAATTGTTCAGGTCAAATAAAAGAATCCATTGAGACTTCCATCATTCATATACTCTATAAGTCAATTCCTATTGTCTTTATTCTCAAAACCATATATATTGAATCTGACAACTCCCTACAACTTGCATTGTCGCCACCTTCATCCGGGCTGCCATCATCTCATCTCCTGAACTGCTCATTACCTTATTACTGATCTCTTTGTTTCCACTCTTGCATGGACCCATGTATTCTCAGCAGTCAGAAAAACATTTTTAAAAAGCTGAGCAGGTGAGGTCAAAATGCTCCAAGGGCTTCCTATCATGCTTAGGATAGAATCCAGTGTTCTCACCATGGTCTGTGAAGCCTATTGTTTCCTACTCTCTAGCTACCTCTAGGAAGTCTACCTTCCTTATTTCACTGAAGGCATAGCCGGCTTTTGGACTATTGCTTCCATGGATTAAGGTTAATTCTTGTCTCTGGGATTTTCCATTTGTGGTTTGCTCTGCCTGGAACACTATCCCCTCCAATACCTGTGTGATTTGTTCCGTGACTTCAATTATTTTCTGATCACTCTAATTTAAGAGAGTCCTACCTGTACTCCCCTAATCCTGCTTCATTTCTCTCCATAGTGCCATTTTCTGACATTGTATTATATATTTATTAATCACCATTTTCTCACTGGAATTTAAGTTCCATAAAAGTAGAGACTTTACATGGATCACAAGCCAAATTTCCAATGAGCAGAGAGATATATTTAATGGATACTATTCTTCAGTTAATTCTGTGGAAAATAGAAAGGTGACAGAATATCTAAGATGAAAAGTCAGCCACCAAATCCCAGGGGAGTAGCACTCTGTGAAGGAAGAACAGAGTATATAGGGGATATAGCCTTAGTCTACACAGTGACTGCGGGAGGCCCGCGGGGTTTCTCGTATCTTATACCTTTCCCACTGAGCAGTGGATGGCTGAGAATTCATACACTTGGAGAAATTTTCTTTCAGTCTTTGGTCAAATTCACAGATTAAAACTTAGAGATAGAATTATGGCTACTTCCTTAAGCTATATGCACTGTAAACAAAAATTAAGTAGTTAACAACCTCACTGTAGTAAAGATTTAGCACAAGCACCATCTAAGTCAAATCCTAGCAAAATTCAAATATTAACCTCATTGGGTAGGCATGGCTTAAATATGCAGTGAAAGAGGTTTTGTGTATCTTAAATGTTAGTCACGTGAGGCTTTCTACTTAGTGACAGCTCAGAAGCTAGCGCTGTTCAGGCAGAGAACATGCATTAACCACAAATACAGTTGCACAGTGGAAGGCTGAGGACTTCCCTCATGGTAGAGTGGATAACAATCTGCCTGCCAATGCAGGTTCAAGCCCCAGTTTGGGAAGGTCACACATGCTATGGAGCAACGAAGCCCACGTGCCACTCCTGGCCGGCGCACAAGAGGCCGTGGTGTCACAGCCACTGAGTCCGCGTGCCATGATGACTGGAGCCTGCACTCCTAGGGCCCGGGGGCCACAGCTCTCGAACCCGTGTGCCACAGCTGCTGAAGCCCACACACCCTAGGGGCAGCAAGTCACAACTATAAGCCGTTGTCTGCAACTACTGAAGCCAGCACCCTTAGAACTTGCGTTTCACAACAAGAGAAGTCACTACAAACAAGAGAAGCCCGCAAACCACAGCTAGCGAGTAGAGCCCGCTCTCCACAACTAGAGAAAGTCCACCAGCAACAGAGACTCAGCACAGCCAAGAGTAAATACATAAATAATAAATAAATATAGCAGTGTTTATGTCAAAAAAAAATTTTTTTTTTTTTAAAGAGGAAGGTTGATACAAGCTTCTCTGAGAGATGCATGCTCTCTGCTACATAGACCCTCTTGGAAGCCATTGGGATCAACTGACTTTGGAAAGGATGACAGTATATAATTTACTAATTGAGGACTTAGGGCAGGACAAATAATGCTGGATATATGTACTTCAGGTGCTAATTAAATGCGGAAGAGGTGATGGGCTTACTGAATAAAGCATTGTAGAGTATATACCTTAAGTGAACTCTCTTATAACCTGTGAAATTCATTAATTGACTAGTCAGTTCCACCACGAATTAATAAAAAATTCAAACAGTCATTTTAAACACACTTATTCTACCTCAGGCTTTTTGAAACCATTAATAGGAAAGCATTGCAAAGATTTGTTGAAGAGCATATCAGCCTGTTCCCATTACTGCACTAGACAGTAATTTTCGGATACCTATAACTTTAGTCACTAGTGAGTTACTCTTTCAGATTTACCTGAGAAAGATTTAGTTGAGTGTTCTTTTAAGAAAAGCTCAGTCCCCATTAATGATGACTACTTATACCTGAATTTCCAGATGACTCAAGTGACTACTAAAAAGTTTAGACTATGTGTCAGAGTCACCCACTGAAGTAGTCACTTCATGGGTACCATAAGCTCAACATTTGGTTGTACATGAATGCATAAATCCTAACTGAATCTAATTTTGGAATTTAGCAGACTAAATTATATTTTATCATCTGTCTAAGCAGTTAAAAACAGAAAGCTTAAGCTGAAGTTACACTCTTAATTAGTTCAACTGTTTGAGTGGAAAAGACATGCTTTCTATTCAGAAGGCATAGAGCAGAATATAGTTATAAAATATTAGTCCCATACCTCTCGAATAGCAGTACAAAACTCACTCTGAAGCACTTTTTTGAGGGATTGTAGTTTGTGCACTGGTACTTCTCCAGATTCCTGTAGTTTTTCCAGTAATTCAATTGCTCTGGCAACATCTGAATGAAAAAAAAAAAAAATCAAAATGGAGAGAGACATGCGGCAAATTGTATCTTATCAAAAAGTACCATTACTCCAATTAAACAGTGACTATGAAAAGTAAGTGGAATTTACTGCAAAACCAGAATTTACAATTCATAATTTTTTAATCTCATTTTTTGGTAAAAGGTCATTTAAATCTGTTCCATACCACTTGTCAAATAATACATCTTCCTCAATGGTATTTCTCATATGTTATTTCTGTTACACAAATTAGTCTGAATATTCTTTCAAAAAAGAACAGGAAGCAGGTCTTTTGTATATTCTGATACCCCAATAACGAAATGAGTTCTATCAATTTTACCTCTGAGAGGCTTTTTTTCAGTTTTTATTTTCTCATTCCAAATTTATCAAACCTGCATGTTTACATTTATTATTATGATGATCTGATTTATGTGCATCTTCTCTACTTGTCTATAATCTCCTTGAGGGTAAGAATTTAATTGGGCTTATTCACCACTGCATCCTCAGAGTCTGGTGTAAACCAGTAAATAAATACTTGATATCATATTTATGAAAGAATGAACAAGCTCTCTCCATTTTACTGCCATTGCATTATTGTAGACCCTCAACGTCATCTCTCCTCTGTCCAACTGGAATCATTTATTCTCCTCCAGCCACTTCATATGATCCATAAAGTTGTCTTCTGAAAATAAAAATCTGATCATGTATCCACCTAGCCATCTCTTAGCACCAAAAGAGTTTTTCAACAACAACTAGCTTAAATGCTTCTCTTTCACCTGATGATATATATCAAAGTCGTTTATAACCATAGCTTTAAAATTCCCAGGATGGTTTTGTACTGTCAAGAGAAAATGATAAGATGAAGGCCATTTAAAAAATATTTACAGTGATCTCTTCTACCTCTGTTGCTGTGGCCAATAACTCACTGAAAAGACACTGAGACATTACATACAGAGATTTTCAATTCCAACGTGATTAACTCCAGGAAGTACCCATATCCCTGCCATCAGATTATTAATTAATTAAATAATTCATTCATTCATCCATCCATCACTTTATATACTTGGCACTAAGACTGACAGGAAGAATAAGACAAGCTTCCTTTCTGAACACACAATCAGATGAGGGGGAAAAAACATAACAGTATAGTCACCTGTCATAATAAGACTGAAAGTGAAAGTCGCTCAGTTGTGTCTGACTCTCTGAGACCCCATGGACTATACAGTCCATGGAATTGTCTAGGCCAGGATACTGGAGTGGGTAGCTTTCCCTTCTCCAGGGGATCTTCCCAACCCAGGGACTGAACCCAAGTCTCCTGCATTGCAGGCATATTCTTTACCAGCTGAGCCACAAGGAAAGCCCAAGAATACTGGAGTGGGTAGCCTATCCTTTCTCCAGGGGATCTTCCTGACCCAGGAATCGAACTGGGGTCTCCTGCATTGCAGGCAGATTCTTTATCAACTGAGCTTTCAGGGGAAGCATTGCTACCACCTAAAAATTCAGGTGGGGTTGGCATAGGTTTATGTATTTAACCAAAGACAAGAACCAAAAAGTAACCTTAATGGAGGAGACTCCCTTGAAGTATTGCCAATTGTGGCCCAAGGAAGCACAAATCATGAAATCAGTAAGACACTGTCAGTTTTAAAAATCTGTCTTTCTGTACATTAACTGAAAGTCAATATAGTCAGTTGGACAAAACCAGTTGCATCCACAATCAATAAGATACCAAGCTAAGAACTGTATGCACTTCTAACTACATGAAAGACTCTATCAAGATTCCAATAGGTACTTGGAACTCTCAACATGTTTAAAACTGTGCTTGTTATATTTTTTCCTGAAAGTAGCTCTTCTCTTCTTACAGTCCATATTTCCATTAATAGCATCTCCACCCAGCCGTATTTCCATTAATAGCATCTCCACCCAGCCTGTCTTCCAAGCCAGACCATGGCATCATCTTTTACATTCACCTCCACATGTAATTAGTCAGCAAGTGCTATAGGTTCAAACTCAAAATGCCTTTTGAATGGAAACCCTGTGCTTTATTGCTTCAGGGAAGCCTTTATTATTTTCCACCTAGGGACTATAATATCTCCTAATGTTCTTTAAATGGCTTTTCTTTTTCAGTCCACTCTCCACACTGCTCCTAGAGTGATAAACCTCATTATTATACTCCCCTGCATAAAACCTATTTCTGGCTTCCTGTTGCATAGGGTGAAGTTCAGACCATTTATGAATACATACAAAAGCCCTTAACAATCAACCTCTTCTGACTCATCTCTAAAAACCTCCTCCTGCCAAACTTACAGATTGATCATCCAAAGTTTTTGCTATTCTAGAACACAACACAGAACACCATGTCTCTGTGATTTTGAACATATCATCCCCTGTTCCTGGAATGCAATACTTTATTCACCCAGTAGTGCCAGGCATGAGAGACAGTGGTAATAGAGACCACCGGTTGCTCTTGCTTTCATGGCATTCACAGGTCGGAAGGACCACAGATACCTAATAAAGGGGGCATGAGCTATAAAAGCAGCTCTATAGGCTAGTACATAGATGTCTAACCAGGATATGGAGCATTATCCAGGAGGTCAGTGAGGGGCTCTTTGTGAAAATGACGGCTAAGCGGAGCCCTAGGTAGGAGGTACAGATGAGGAAAAGGAGAAAAAAGGTCCAGGCAAACAAACGCAGACTACTAAAGTTTTATCAGGAGAGTGTGGGGCATTCAAAGAACTGAGAGTTTAATATGTTCGAAGTTGAAACCAGATCAAGAGTAGCAAGAAATGCAGTAGAGAGAAATCACATCATGGAGGTTGTGACAGGTCATGTAGGGAGGACTTGGCCTAGACAGCCTCTCCTTAGACATGTCTTCCCTGACTCTCCAAGGCAGACTTAGTTGCTATCATATTGGTATTCCCACAGTCCTTTGTTCACTTATCCACTGTAATAATTACTACTCTCTGCGATAGCTCTTTTTATATGTATGTCTCCCTCCTTCACCCTGCAAATACATAAGATTTTTGAGAGGTCAGGAGCAGTGTATTATTTATCATCATATCCATAGTTCAATGAAGAGTCCTTGACAAATACTGGGTGTTTTTATGTGTTGAATGAATGATAGATTAGTTGATGAGACTAGAAAAGAAGAGGTTCGAGGCCTATGTCTAGGTGGACATATAACTAACTTCTCATGAGAATAAGCCTCCAGATCACTATCAGCTTTGGCCAAGACTGGGTTGGGTCTGACATGCAGAAGGATGAAAGCCTGAATGTGTAGGCTAAAGGGTATCAAGTGACTGACTTGGAATTTCAGAAAGCTGAAAATGGCTATTCAGTAGTTCTTATCTTGGGCTGCACTTTAAAATTACCTGGGGCACATTTATAAATTATTTATTTTCCCCTCAATTTCACTGAGACATATTTGACATAGAACATTGTGTTAGTTTAAGTGTACAATGTAATTATTTAATATATGTATATTGCAAAATGATTGCCACAATAAGTTATGAATGCCTGAGACTCACCCCAAATGAATTAAACCAGAATATATGGTACAGTGGTCCTCGGTCTTGGCTTCAGACTGGAACCACGTGGAGAGCTTTGACAATCTTGGGTGCCTGGATCTCACAGACTCCAGTGTGACTGGCAAAGGTGGGGCCTGAGCGAGAGCTTTTGGAAGCCCTCAGGGGGATGCCAACGGTTGATAAAGGCCGTGTTTGAGAACCCCTGGTCTAGTTGGCATGGGTGTTTTTACAGCCCACTGTGATTCAAACGTGCATGCTGAGAACCTCTGCTAGAAATGAATGGCTCTAAAACATGAGTGTGCCTAAGAATCCCTTGGGGAAATGTGTTAAAATATAGGTTCCTGACATCCCCCCCACTGCCACTTGAGGGATATTGATTCAGGAGGCATGAGGATAAGGCTCAGGAATTTTAAAATTATTCAAGTGATTTTTTAGTTTTAGCTTTTATAAAAAAAAAATTATTAGTGCATGGTTGATTTAAAATGTATTAAAAACATAAATAAAATATTGTATTTGTATTAGTTTCTGCTATACAGTAAAGGGAATCAGTCACACATAAACATATATCCACTCTTTTTTAAGATTCTTTTCCCATATGGGTAATTACTGAGTATTAAGTAGAGTTCCCTGTGCTATACAGTAGGTTCTTACTAGTTACCTGTTTTATATGGAGCAGTGTGTATATGTAAATCCCAAGATTCAAGTGATTCCAAAGTTGTTGTTTCACAGAGATAAGAACAAAATGACAGTTCAGGTTTCCTTTCGTCCCAGCATTCCCCAAACTCCTGCACTTTCTATTATTCTTTGATATCCTATTTAACAGGAAACTGAATGGGATTCTTTTGAAAGTCTTGGAATTATTGATAAAAGTCCATAAATGAAAGTAAGTAGTGTCAAGTATCTACGCTATTCTGAAACAGTGCTCCTAGCAAAGGCTGGTCACCCTGACTGCTGTGGAGTCGTAAAACCAGCCTGCTCCCCAGACTTGTATAATTGTATTCACAATCTCTTCAGTGTGGAATTCAGTCATCGGGTTCTTTAAGATTCCAGATGATTCCTATGACCATTCAAAATTGAGAAATACTGTTCAAAAATGAGCTATCAAGGAAACTAGCCACCCTTCAATCCACCAAAAATTACTAAAAGCTGGGCCAGCTCTGTTACATTATACCATAGGCCTTTTCCAGTATATATGAAGAGGTAACTGTGAGATGAAAAAAAAAAAATTCATGAAGGATTGTTGCGTCATTAACTTTGGACAAAATACTAGGTCTTTTCCTCTCTTCAACTTGCCAAGCAAGGCGTGTTCCTGCAGCCACCGGGGGTCGCCTGCAGAGGGAGACGGCCGCCTTCCCGGCCGCACAGGTGATCTGCCTGCCCACCGCCCATCGGGTCAGAGGCGGAGCCGTGGACAGCAGGGGCACCAGAGCCGGCTCTCTGGCACCCACCCAAGCGAATCTAGCAGGGTGAGG